TAAGAGTTATTTGAATGCAGACAATTGTTACTTATTTTTTTTTAACTTTTCAACTAACCTTTTGGCATCTCGGGAACATCTTGATTCATTTTCTCTCACCTCTTCATTTGTTGCCTGTTGATATGTGGTGATACAACATGCAATATGGTTAAGATGTTAATCAACTGCTGCATTCTTGTATGTTGTGCTTGTTTTAGTAGCTCATTTCAGTCATTATGTTAAGTTCTACATTTGTTCTGTTTGTGAGAATATTGTGTTGGTTCTAGCCAGCTTTTCTGTTGGTTAAAAAGGAGGTGTTCCCATTACCATAAGATCTTGAGAGCTGTATTAACAAAAGCAACATAGTAAGGTTGCAACTCTGGGTTAGGAAATTCCTGGAGACTTGGGGACAGAGTCTTGGAAGGGAGCTAAGCAGGGATATGTTGCCATACAGTCTACCCTCCAAAGCAGCCATTGTTGCCAGGGGAACTGATCTCTGTGGTCTGGATATCCTCCGGTACATATAATTCTATTTTGGTCATGGACTCCCCTGAACATTCCAACACGCTCCAAAATCAATTCACTCTCTGATCTGTCATTCAGAGGGTCTCCCTATCCACTGGCTGCTTTGCCTGAGTCCTGCCTCCAACATTCTAAACAGTTTGCTGTTCCTCTCCCCCCCACAGCCAGTCAGAACACAGAGGTCATTTGCATATGTGGTCTGATTCGCCTTTGCATATGTGGTCTGATTCGCCTTTGCCTTGGAACACAGAGGTCGTTTGCATATGCGGCCTCACTGGCCTTTCCCTCTAACATTCTAAACAGTTTGCTGTTGATGTTCTGAGATAAAATAAATTTCCCCTTAGCGTCTGTTGGGGGAAACTATGGTTGCAAATCGCCAGGTGAGGGCTAAAGATCATTTAGAATTGCAACTGCTTTCCAGATGGCAGAGATCAGTTCCCCTGGAGAAAATGGTGGACTCTGTGTCCTTATATCCTGCTGAGATGGCCCCTGTATGACAGCCAATGTGACGTAGCAGTCAGGGCTTCAGCTATTAAAACTGATGTCCACATGACCTAGATCAGTTCTCTTGGAGACAATGGCTGCTTTGGGCAGTAGATTCTATAGCATTATACCCTGCTGAGGTCCCTCCCCACCCAAAATCCTGCCCTCCCCAGGCTCTACCCCTCAAATCTACAGGTATTTCCCAACCCAGAGTTTGCAACCGTGTAATTGGCTATGGAACCACTTTCCAGACCCTTGGAAACCAGAAAACGTGGCACAGGAGGTGCTTTTCTACCTTAGCTGTGACTGCATAGCCCCAAATTAACATAAGCCAACCTCCAGGTGGCACCTGGAGATCTCCAGCTATTAAAACTGATGTCCAGATGACCAAGATCAGTTCTCCTGGAGACAGTGGCTGCTTTGGGCAGTGGATTCTATGGCATTATACCCTGCTGAGGTCCCTCCCCACCCCAAACCCTGCCCTCCCCAAGCTCTACCCCTCAAATCTACAGGTATTTCCCAACCCAGAATTGGCAACCGTGTAATCAGCTATGGAACTACTTTCCAGACCCTTGGAACCCAGAAAACATGGAACAGGAGGAGGTGCTTTTCTACCTTAGCTGTGACTGCATAACACCCCCCTCGCCCTAAAAAAATAAGTCAGAGGTGGAGAGTACCATATCTGTTACCATGAGGCTGTCCTCCCATTCTACCCACTTGGGGCAGCAAAATGACTTGAGACAGCCCTGCCTTATAGCTAAGCAGAAGGAAAGAAACACGGCTTGCCTCCCTCCATTTTCCGCTTCCCTCTGCCGCCCCACCAGCCACAGTCAGGACACTCATCTGGAGCTTACTTCTAGATCTCGTTGTATTTCTTCCCACAACGAGCATTACTTCTAGTCAGTCATAATTCTGGAAGAACTCCAGGCCCCCTTGGAGGCTGGCAACCCTATCATGTAGGATGGGGAATGTAGTAATGGCAAAACTGAGTAAAAATGCTCACTGGATCTAGTCCATTAGTTGTGAAGATTTGGATACATTTAATTTAAATTGGGTCTCTCAACCTAAAAAAATTCCCATCTCTGAAATGCTGGTATAAGTCATTGTTTTTTGACATGTGGGATGGATTGCACATGAAAATCAGGTTTTAAAATGCTGCTAGTTCAGACAGCCTGGGAGGTAAGGACGTAATCTTCCCTGGAGTGGATAGCTTGTTTGATAGGCTGCTCTACACGCTCTCTGATTGGCCAGTGTCAGCTGAGAGAAAGTAAATGATCAGCTGTGTACTGGAGGGTAAAGACTTTTCATTTGGCGTCAGCAAGCCAGGGAGTAGGCTTCTGACAGAGAAAGAGATGGCTGGAGTCAGTAGTTCTTTTTTTTGTTTTGTTTTAATCCCCTGAAGACAGGGTAGTTTTATTAATTTTCGTTACACCTACGTGACTACAGAAAAAGAAAAAGGGAAGGGGTACAGACAGTAAATAAAGAAACCCACACTATAACTAAAAACCCAAGAAAAGAAGGTCTTTTACAGTTAGTATACAGTTAGTCATAAAACTTAAAACTTTTCGTTTAAATCAATGAATTTAGGAGTTAGTGAGTCTATTTTAGTAATTGTCTATTTTCTTCTCAGTGTGCACAGAGTCTCTTTTATCCACTTCAGTTATAAATCTTTCAGTTCTTAAGAGCTACTTGGGAACTCTTAGCCGCAAGTCATACGTGTCTCTGGCCGCGCCTCCTTCTGCTCCTGCTGGGTCTCCGTCCGTCTCTTCCAGGCTGTCTGGAGGGCCCCCTCCGTCTGGCTGCTCTTCCTTTTTCGATCCGAAAAACTGCTTCAACCATTCTTCCGCTTTAAACACCGAGTCAATTTTCTCTCTCTTATCCTTGTATTTAAACTGCACACCCTCCGGATAGAGCCAGGAATATGGAATCTGGTTGATCTGGAGTGTTGAAATGAGTTCTTTGTATGCTTTTCTTTTTTGTCGAACCTCAAATGGAGTGTCCTTTAGGACCCTGATAGTTGCTGATCCCAGCTGCAGGGGTTTGGCTGCTGTCGCTTTGAGAATATCATCTCTTGTCTGTCGTCGGAGAAACTTGACTACAATCTCGCCCGGCATGTTATTCTGCTTAATATATTTAGAGTAGGATCGATATACCACTTCGATCTCTGCTTGCGCTTCAGCCGGTGCATTGCCGAGCCTCGATGCAATTAGCTCTGTCGCCCCCTCCTTCAAGTTTTCTCCTGCCGTTTCAGCCACCCCTTGAAACCTGAGAACTTTATTAGCTTTTTCCATCTGTAGATTCAATAGCCTTCTTTCTTGGAGATCTTGCCTTTGCTCCAACAGACCAACTTTCTTCTTCATCTTTTTAGTATCGTGTGCTGTCTCTTTAAGCTTTTCATCGGTTTGAATCGACTTTTTCACGAGCTCGGCGATCTGCTGTTGCTGCTTTGCCATACTCTGGTTCGAAGCAGCCATCAATTGGTTAAGACCATTGAGTCTTTCGTTTATGGGCCGGAGCAGCTCCGTTAGCGTGGAGAAGACGTCTCCTTCTTCTACCCTCGGACTTTGACCACCTCGCCCAACTTTCGTTCCTTTTCCTCGGACGCCGGCCATTTTCAGCTTTGTTTACACTAAAGAGAGGCTTTTCACTCTCCTTCAGCAAGTGCAAACTTATCCGCAAAAACAGCTAAGTCTTTGGCACACTTGAGCGCTTTTCGTTTCTCCCCCCCCCCTTCTCTTTAAAACACAGTTCGGTTTGTTTACGTCTGGGATTCCCTCCCGACGCCGCTATAGGTGTGGGGGGTGGAACTCACTTTTAGAACTTATTCGCTCGCCTTTTTCTCCGCTTCATTGATGGTCTGACCACAGACCCCTTTTAGTCACGCCTCATTCACTGACCTTCTTGCTTGTCCCGACCGGCATCAGCTATGCTCGGTAAAAACCGAGCCTCTCAGGGGGTTGACCGATTGGGGCAAAAAGGAGCGCCTCAATTCTCCGGCTTAAAGCCATCGAAGAGGTCGCCCCCCATGCGCCCCCGGCTTGGAGCCTCCAAACTGAGGCTCACCTGGGGGTGCCACTTGAGGTGGCACTGGCTGGAGTCAGTAGTTCTGACAGGATTGGTCAGACAGGTTCTTCTTCTGAGAGAAGAGAAGAGACTTCTTTGCCCGAATTGAATAAGAACTACTCTGAGGGAGAACTGTGAATCTAAGTCCAGAAAGCTAAAAACTGCTTTACACAGACATCACTACTGGATGAGAGATTTGGCAAGAGTGACTGGATTGTTAGGCTGTAACTCCCAATCAAGCCGAACAGAAAAGGGTTATTGCTTCTTAGGGAAAAGAAGAATATCTGCTGGTTGAAAAGGGTTGAGCTCTGAGGAGAACTCAGGTCTGTGGTAAAGGGAATAACCTTTAGACACCTCAGGACTCAGTGGAAAGTTACAATTTTCTAAATGGAGAAACTAGATTTTCTAAGGGGATAAATCTAGAAACTCTAATAAAGAGCTATTCTCCATGGAATTCTATTAAGATCCTGTGTTACTGCTGAAATATGCTAAGAAAAGTACCTCTCACGAACTAGAAATCCCTGAAAATAAGCAACAAGAACACACTCTTGTTTGTCTTAAGAATTTGTTCCTGTACAAAATAGAACTTTTACCTCAGTATTTCTAAACCTTGACTTCCCCTATATATATTCCCTGCCTGTTAAATAAACATCTTTTATTCTGTTTTTAAAGTTTTACAGTCTCAAGTGCCATTTCAAAGGGTTTAAGTCAAGAGAGCTCCTGTTTTTCCCACAAGTTCCTGTGCTGGGTCAAAAGCCAAACTAAATCTCTGACAAAGGGTAGGACAGTCAAGTCTGTTATGACAAAGAAGGAATACACGCTCCTGAGGGGTGGCTCAGAAACAGAAGGGAACTAAGTTTTGGTGGGGGAAAATCTGCCTGGGAGCCGGGAAGTGACGGAGGGTCTGTCATAGCATGGTACAAAAATGGCTATTAATATGCTTCATATAGGGTATGTCTGTTCAGTGCTGGTATCGAACGCCATGTGATCAGGCTGTAAATGTCACCACAGATATTAACTTAAACCAAATCTGCTGGGTTATCTATCACAGAGGTAACTGCAGTATATCTGATTTCATACTTTGGCTATTTCACAGTGATCAAATGCAATGTTACAGTTAATAAAAGTTAACGTTTTTATATTTCTCTCTTTGTATTGCAGGAATATATTGCAATGGGACTTTTGATCAATTTGTTTGCTGGCCTTATTCATCTCCAGGAAATGTCTCTGTTCCTTGTCCATCTTATTTACCATGGCTAAAAAATGGTAACACAAGACTTTGGAAACATGTACAAACTGTCCTATAAAAGTAGTAGCATCTTTCCTAATCTTGCCATACTCTATACACAGTGGTGGGCAATATATATCAAGAGGGTATAAAAATCTGTGGTGGGGAAGTCTGAAATCTGGCCACTCTCCCACACATTATTGTCTTTAAAATGTGCACCAATACAGTCTTTAAAATGTGCACTAAAATCTGTCTCTATAAGGCATAACAGTTGTCTGTACCATCTCTATAGTATAGATCATTCACAGCTAACTCGGTTCTAACTCTACTGCAGAACACCATGACTACCCTCTGAAACAGCTACCTGGGGTTATATTTACCCCTTCACCTTCATTTTTTTATTTGTTTTAACATTTTTATTCTTTTTCTTTATTATACCTGTTCATTTCCATGGTAAACATATTTCCAGCTATAACATTTTTGTTTTCCATAAAAGTGGGATTAAATTCTCAGGGGCTATACCCTGTACCTGCCAGTTAAAATTCTTGTTTGCAAAGTGAGCAGAACCTTCCCCCCAAAAAAACAGGTAGAGGGCAAAAATAACATATAATAGAGGGTCCCTGTGAATAGGTCCGCCAGTTTAAAGAAAGGGGGTTAGTTGTTTTTTTACCAAAACTGGGCAAGGGGAAACAAACCCTGTCCCATCCCATGCACTCTGAAGCTCTGAGAATATTTCTTCCAGTCCAGGTCCAGTACTGGGCCAGCCAGGGCTATTTTGGGGCAGGAATGCACAGGAATGGAGTTACGGCTGGCTCCCAAGTTGGCCACGCCCAGCAGAAACTCATTAGCATAACAGGCCACACCCAGCAGTAGAAACTCATTAGGATTGGCTACATTAGGTGTGTGTGGCCTAACATGCAAAGGAGTTCCTGCTACAAAAAATGCCCCGGGTTTGGACAACCAACAAGGTAAACAGAATAAGAAGCAAAAGGTTGGTGTGGCTGGATGACCACACTTCTGGTAACGTGGGATGTGGCCTAATATGCTAATGAGCTATGCTGTCAGGGTGTGGCTGGATATGCTAATGAGTTTCTGCTGTTGGGTGTGGCCTATTATGCTAATGAGTTCCTGCTGGGCTTTTTCTACAAAAAAAGCCCTGGTGCCAGCCAAGGAAAAAGGTATTGAAAGCACCCAAATGCGGCCAAGAAACAAATGGCAATGTTCAGCTCCATGTGCCTGCACATGCTTGTTTTGTTTTTAAAACGGCACGTACAGGCACACCCCAAAGTTTTACACACAAATGGGAGATAGCCATTCTTTTTATATATATATTGAGGCTAACAAGCAGCGAGAAGGAAGCATCTGCTGTCAGAGAAATGGCTACTGACAGATTGCTAGGTTGACAGATCTCAGTTCAATCCTCTTCACTGATAATCTTTCATTTCACCTGGTTTAGATCTGGTCTGTCTGTCTCTTTCTGATAACGGCTGCCCTGCACACACATTAATACATGGCACATGCTACCTATTACTGGGAATGGAGGAAGTAAGTGTGGTGTTTATCTCCATCTCCCCCAACTCTGCAGTATTGACTGTATGGCGATGTATGGTAATTTGTGCAAGCAAATATTATTTTTCCTGTGGCTTGCAAGGAGAGAGAGAGAACACACAAAAACAGCAAGTAAACAGGAGCCATTACACTTACACAGAATCAAATCAAAACAGCAACTGACATCAATACTCCTTTGAGCACTATCACTTTTGGCAGCAAGGCCTGTGTGTCATTGTGCTCATTGGTAACCTAGGCAGATCTGCCCAGCTACTCTCTCCTCATTCTCCCCTCTAATCTTCTCCAACTCTAAGCAGGGCAGCCAGGTACCATGAAATTGTGTTCCAGATATTTTGGAATGCCATTACTTTTTCAGTTCAGTTGAGTTATAATTATACAAGGAATGGGGAGGGGGTTGTTTGGTTCAGGTTTTGGTTAGTTACCACATAAGTATACATCCCTATTGCCTGCTCCTTTTTATTTCTCAGACAGAGGCCAATAACCCTCTAGGAATTTTGATTCTGTGGTTAAATTGGCACATGGTTACAAGGTGAACCCCAACCAATAGTCTCACTTGCTTAACATTGCAGTTTTGTAGGTAGGACTGCCAACCTCCAGGTAGGGATTGGAGATCACTCAGAATTATAACTGATCTCTAGATAACAGAGATCAGTTCCCCTGGAGATAATGCACTCTATGGCATTATACCCCACTAATATCTCCAGGAATTTTCAATGTGTAGTTGCCAGCCCTAACAGGAGAGCCTCTATTAGGTGTGCTGCTACTAGACAGCAAATCCAGTACATATCTCCAAAGAATCCCCCCTCCCCCTGTATAGAGTACAATATTTACACACATAGATTTTGTGAAATGGTGGAAATCTGCATTCAGGACCTACTGCCAGTGAAGATCAGCAGTAGTCTGGCTAAACAAAACATTTGTCTGTTGAATTCATGCACCTACGCTCATAACTTGATGGCTGTAATCTCAGTTGCTGACCTGCTGCATATGTGAAATGCCCATCAAGCACCACACACAAGACAATTGTTTTCAGTTGCACCCCTTCCCATATTTAGATGTGAGTCACTGTGTTATGTTCTGAGTTATTTCTAAGCTGTTTAGTTATGGTTTGTGTTAAGGTATCCTAGTTTCCTCTGTTGTGACTGGCTGCGTAATAAAGACCTTCTAGTGATCCTAACACCATACTGAGTATCCTATCAGAAAGCTCCACTTAGGTCCAATCAGACCTCATGAAAGTAGTTACATAGTATATAGTTCAGTTTGGAAAAGTATAAGTTTGGATGCCGCTCTTCGCAGTCAGACTAGAGCTGAGTAATGTTCTGAATAAAAGCCTTGTATTGATAATCTTCCGCCTTTCAGTACATAAAACACTGAATGTGACAGGGTGATGAGTTAAGCAGTGTACATGGAACACAGCTAGGAAAGGAACACAAAACATCCAGTTGTCACCTACACTGGTTGGGAGGATATAAAGAAGTATGCCTATAAAGAACCAATAAAACCCCAGGAGCTCAGAGTTGCCTATATCCATTCAATAAGAAATATATTCTTAATATGCAGCCTTGAATTTGTTAATTATGCCATATCAATGACATATTTTCCAACGCCAAGACCAATTAATCAGAAGAATAAGGAAATAATTAATTGAAATACAATCTTATCCTTTGGATTTAAGCATGAAAAAGACTTTAAAATAGGGAATTAGAAGCATTAGACTGTATTAATCCATTTATAAATATTTTGCTTTCTACAGTTACCTCCCAACTAAACAGACATTATAAAAAGTCACCACATGAAGCCAAGTCTCCCTTTTCTGGGGCTTTCAGGCAAGTGATGAAAGGGTGACAGTATTAAACTATGTCTGAAAAATGAAATTTGTGGCTTGACCTTTGGGCCTGAATCTCTGTTTACTTTTAGGAAGTGCAGGAAATGTATACAGAGTCTGCTTGGACCAAGGAATGTGGAAAACGTTAGAAAACTCCAGCCAGATTTGGAGTAACCGATCAGAGTGCATTGAGAAGAATCACGGGCAGTCAAAAGTAAGCAGAAGTTGCCTTTTTATGGTTTAATAGGGTGACCTACTGAATCCTCTCTGGAAATCCTCTCATAGTCAAATTGTTTCTACCAAGTCCTTTACCTGTTTGTTATGCAGTCATGATTATATCAACTGAAAGTCGGTAGTTTCAGTATTTATTTAAAAGAGGATTAAGTTGTTTCAGGCTGGAGTGGTTAGGTTGAACATTCTCTTCTTGTGTATGGTTTAGGCTTTCTCCCTTCTGTTGAGCTTGCTTTAAAGTAGATGGGGAGGAAAATGGCTCTCAAATCAACCTAATAGAAAATGGATACAGCATAAATACCCTTCATTGGTTTTGGTACCTCATATATTCTCATAAGTAACTATTATAGCCACACAAAATGTGTCTCTGAGATGTAATGAACTCTGAAAGAGTAGTACAGGAGCTTTGTTCAAAAGTATTTCTGGCTGGCCTTAAGGGAATTTTTCTTTTGTTATTGCTTTTAAACCACTTACCAGTAAAAGCAAGGGCAAGGTTGATTCTTTGCCCTTTGGATTGGCTTTTTAAGGTGTACACTCTACATGAATCTTGATTCTGCTACATACTTGCTAGTGGGGTGGGCATGCATGTGATAGAACTTTCTCACACCCGCAGTACGGGAATGAGAGTACACACTCACTGTACAGGACTGATGAAGTATTATAACAAGGCAATGTGTGTGGAATATTTGAAAGTACTATATAAATACTTGGTGTTATTATGTGAATAGACAGATATTTTTGACCTCAGACTCACCGAAATCACTTGCAGTCCCAATGCCTAGGGAGGGGAGTTGGCAGTGAAGGCGAGGAACCCTTTACAACAACCCACCAGCAACACAATCACTCACAAAGTTTGGAATAAAATGGCCACAACTTTTAATGGTTACAGCTGTAAGAAGTGAGTTGGCCAGGTGGTGCAGTGTGCTTTCCCCTTGTGGTGGTCTTTCCCCAGGCCCCATCATAGGCAACCTGGGAGAGGGAGGGCTAGGCTTTCCCACCCTTGCTGCTGCCCAGCCCCCAAGCTTCCCATGCAGCCCATCTTGCCTTGTAGGACGTAGTCAGCCATGGCTGCTGTCACCCTAGCTGGCTCTCCCCGTCCATACAGGATCACAAATGGGACCCATGGGTGAGTTGGGGGCCCCACTTGTGGATCTACTGGAAGTGCCTATCTGGAGGCCACAGTGCTGGCTCAAGATATTTTGCCACCCGAAACATATTGCTCTTTCACTGTACTGACCCAAGGGGTCCAAGACACACAGCAGAGCCAGTACATCTACAGCCCTCCTTAGACATGGGCAGCAGTGGCACAAGCTTGAGAGGCAATGATAGGCATAAGCCATGCCTGTTGCCTGCTCTTACATTGCTGCCCTCTTCCAATTCAATGCCCAAATAGACAGTGAACTAGCTCTGAGAGATATTCTGATATTAAGGGGTTTTGGAGTGGTCTTGGAAAAGGGAGCTGAAAGGGTCCTATGCATATGCAAATCACAAAACTTTGGGTCCTTGCCAGGAGAAGAAATAACTAAACACTTAAGTATGCATTATATAATATATGAATGACAAAGGAAGAAAAGTTATAAGGGGAAGGAAGGATGTGAAGAGGAGGCATTTGTAATGTAAAACACATTTATATTGCAGCTGCCCATAATCCCATGTTGTAGCTTTGGAAGTCTCTTTCGAAAAGTCAGGGATTTCCTCACGGTACCTTCCAAACAGCCCCTCAGACAATGGACACTAGTAAGCATGCCATGAAATTTCATGTCTGTGACTTCTGATCAGTTGTTAACCTGATCTCTTGTTGCTCTCCTCCTGGCTCAGAGCCAGCGGCAGCCAACTGTTTGATTACTGGCTGAGGGCTGGCTGCAGGAGCTCTTCATCTGAGGAATCTGTGTCGCCGCTGAACACAGATTGACTTACAACAGGTTTGTTTCACAACCTATCCAAGATTATCAATTGATCCATTTTAAAGCTAGACCTTTAAAGGGCTTGTAAAAGAAAATTATAACTAATGGGGTACCCTCACAGTAGTAGACCAGAAGAAAGAAGGAAGAAGGTGCAGAGTGCAAGGAACAGTAAACCGCAATCCTTGCGGTGACGAAGATAGAAAAAGGGGTGGAAACAGGTGGGAATTGGGTGTGGATGCCATATCCATGGAATAATGTCTGAATAATAAATTCCTTCAACTTAAAAGCGAGGCAAGAAAACAGTCCACAGCAAAACCGGTTCTGGAAAACACAGTGATACAGTGAACTGAAAGCTGATTGGGTGGGAAGAAATGCAGAAGCAATAACAAAAGCTGACAGAAATGAAGAGCTCCTGCAGCCAGCCCTCAGCCAGTAATCGAACAACTGGCTGCCGCTGGCTCTGAGCCAGAAGGAGGGCAACAAGAGATCAGGTTACCAAGAAGTCACAGCCTACAGCTGAAACAGAGCCATCACCTTGTAGCTCTGAAACAGTAAACAAGTCTTCAGAAGCCACTCACAGCCCATCTAGCTCACCAACACCCCTGCAGTGTTGATGCTGTCAGAGGCACACAGAGTTGCAGGAAAGGAGAAGGAGTGTGAGACTCATGGCCTGCCATCAACTATCAATGGACGAGGTGGATGAGTAGTTTTGGTATGACTGCCAAGGAATTTGCTGGGAGGGGAGGTAAAGGTAAAGGTTTTCCTTGCTCGAAAGCCAGTCAAATCCAACTCTAGGGATGCGGTGCTCATCTCCGTTTCAAAGCCGAAGAGCCAGTGCTGTCCAAAGATGTTTCCATGGTCATGAGGCCGGCATGACTAGATGCCAAGGCACACGGAATGCTGTTACCTTCCCACCGAAGTGGTACCTATTTATCTACTTGAAATTTCTTGCTTTCAAATTGCTAGGTTGGTAGGAGCTGGGACCAGAGACGGGAGCTCACTCCATCATGCGGCACTCGGGCCTTGAACTGCTGAACTACTGACCTTCCGGTCTGCAGTTCAGCATCTTAATCAGCTGGGAGAAGCAGCAGTTTTGTGGATGAAAGAAGTACACATTGCTACTGAACCAGTGACCTTGCTATTACTAGACTACTGGAACCTTGACCCTTAGACTGGACCTGACTATTGGCTTTTGTAACCCCTGACTTTGAACTAGACTTGGACTTGCTGCCTGGGTCCTTTGACCCTAGAGTGGACCCTAGTCTGCTCTCTGGAACCCCTGACTTTTGGACTGGAGCCTGGTTACTCTTTGCAAACTTGCCCATGACCTGCCCTGCTGAGCCCCAGCCCTTGTCTCCTGGGAGGGCTGCACCAGTACAAAACCAAACCATTACTATGGACTACTTTAAAAGGGTGCCCTACAGAGGATATGCAAAGGGTGGACAGAAGGCATCAAGGAAGCAAGCCAGCTGCCAGGTGGTTGTTGCACTGGCTGCTCACACAACACTGCAGGCCACTGAGTGCTCCATCCAATCCTCCATACTTGCCACCACAGCAGTACTCTATGAAGTTTATGATTAGCTATCCTCAACATGCCTCTCACTCAGTGCAGGTTGCTGGGCAGCAGGGGAAGAACTTCCCATTTTCTTTGCGAGCAGGCTAGTTTTGAGTTTACCATACTGAGACTTTCGGTAGACGGTGTGTGTGTGTGTTTGTGTGTGTGTGTGTTAAAAGGAGCTTGTTCCCTCCTGGTGTTGATTTAAAAGGGGGTTGTAGAGGAGACAAACGGAAGCATCCCCAGTGAAAACAAAAAAGATTTCCCCTGCTGCAGTTCCAAAACACAAAGCAGCCTTGTCACAGAGAGAGGAAAAGATTCTCATGCCTCATGTGAGGCTCAAATTTACAAGCTTCAGATTATGACGCTTACGAGGTGCCTATTGCACTAACAAGGCAGCTGCTGAATATGTTTCTTTCTGTGGTTTTTCTCCAGTTGCAAACCAGGATGTAAATGAAGTAAATGATCAGAGGGAGGAAAAATTGCTAAAATGCAACACTTAACATCCTTCTTTCTCTACTCCCCCCCCCTTAAAATTCAAGTGCATCTTGCTAATGCATAATGACGTTTTACCTACCCACTGGTTTGGGCAGCCTCGTTCAAAGGTGCTTGCTGGAGGCTACTGTGCAGCTGAAATAGGACAGTTGCACACATTAAAAAAAAAAAACCTTCACAGGCCACCCCCCCACAAATGGCATGTTTACTTTAATGGATAAATAAATGCGGGTTTTGGTTGTAGATGCAGACTGCAGACATAGAATACACAAAAAACAAACTGGAGGGGGGGGAAACATGTGCAGAGGGTGGGCTAACAAATCCGTTATTCAAGCTTTAAGTATTGAATGTTCAGATTCTCCACAATAAGCTGTGAGTGCAGAAAGGGCCTTAGTGACCAGAAGCCCCTGCAACTAATTACACATACAGGGCATGTGCTAGGGAGATCTGTTGCTTTCCTGCAACATCAGGGGTGTCTGTCAAGATGCCTCTGGACATGGTGGTTTCATTGAGGCAACATGGCTAATAATCTAGATAGAGCCATGCTCCCGGCGACTCACTTTCTACCTGATTGGGCCAGTCTTTCAAGGTTATTTGCATATGCGAGCTGATTGGGCCTCACTCCATTCCACACATCAGCCTTTTCCCCCCATAGCCAGTCAGAACAGAGGTCATTTGCATATGTGGCCTGATTGCCCCCCCCCTCCAACATTCTAAACAGTTTGCTGTTGCTGTTGGGAGTCATTGAATGTGTCCTGAGGCAAAATACATCTCCCAATCTTCCCCTAAATGTTCACTGGGGTTGCCAATCTCCCTCTGGGGCTTGGAGATCTCTCAGAAATCATCATGTTCCCCAGCCACAGCACATCATTTCCCTTACAGAAATTTCCCAGTTATTGCAACTGATCTCCAGATAACCAAGTTCAGTTCTCCTGGAGACAATCACTGCTTTGGGCAGTGGACTCTATGGGATTATACCCTGCTGAGGTCTCACCCTATCCCAAACCATGCCCTCCCCAGGCTCTACCCCTCAAAACTACAGGTATTTCCCAACCCAGAGTTGCCAACCCTGTAACTGGCTATAGAACTGCTTTCTAGATTTTTGGAAACCAGAAAACATGGCATAGGAGGAGGTGCTTTTCTACCTTAGCTGCCACTGCATAGCCCCAGATCAACATAAATCAGGGTGGGGGGAACCATGCTTGTTACCATGAGGCTCTCCTACTACCCACTTGGGGCAGCAAAATGACTTGAGACAGCCCTGCCTTATAACTAAGCAGAAGGAAATAAACATGGCTTGCCTCCTGTTTTCCCCATCCTTCTGCTGCCCCACCCACCACAGCCAGGACACTCACCTGGAGCTTCTTTCTAGAGTCTGTTGTATGTCTTCCCACAATGAACCTTACTCCCAGTAATGCTATAATGCTCGATAAGCATCTAACAAATGCATCTGGTTCTTAAGTAATATGCAAATGTTCCCTGAAATATGTGCTAGAAAGATATGCTGCAGCATCTTCTCTACTGGGATTGGGTTCTCACATTTCATAGTCTTAACTTCTTTGTGTGGTTTTTTTTTGTTTCTAGAAAGAAAAACATCTATTGTACATCACCCTTCGTCATCTTTATACTGTGGGATATTCTTTTTCTATTGCTTCCCTTGTATTAGCTCTACTCATGCTGCTGTTGCTGAGGTTAGTATGGACGTGTCTAGAAGAGGAAGGTTTAGAATTGTTCAGCAAGATATTTTCATATTTCCAAGAGCTAGAATTGTCACCAGCAGGGCATTTCAACCTGAAGACCAATAATTATTCAGCCATTTTGGGCAGTGAAGGAAGCTTCCTTCTTTTCAAATTAATTGAGAAATGGGTGCATCTGAAACTCCTGAATTAGTTGTGTCATTGATATGATGAGATTATAAGTCTGTGACTATAGTTGCATTAAGAATAATGGTAATGGGTAAGGTTGGCATGACAGGCTATTGATCGGTCAGATATTGTCAATGGACTGCCATGATCCGATATTCTCAAATGGTCTGTGAAGTCAAGCCCCTTGCAGGGAAGCCATCTTTATTGTAGCATAATCTGAGAACAATGGTAGCAGAGCAGACTCCTCAAGGGCACGCACACAGTTCTCTCCAGAAAGCTTCTGTTCCCTCCCCTTCTAATTAAGGCATACAGCCTAGTTTCCACTAGCGATTGCAGGCTTCTCTGAACAGGAACACAAGCTTCAGGAGGCAAGTCCATGCAAGTAGTCACTATGCTCAAGACCCAGCAGTACCCAGAGTCCATTCCTGTGGGCCTCTACATAATGTGGTAAGGTGGTCTAAAATGTTTTGGGAATAACTGGGAAAAGCAGATTATTGTGAGTCCAAATTCTCAATTATTACTTTTGGTAAGTAGTGAGGTGCAATAAAATTATATGGCTTTAATCTTCTGTAATCAGTCCTTTGGTGGGAGGGGGAGTCTTCAGCTTCCATACTTTGGCAAAAACCAGCCTAGCTGCAGTAATTATGTACCACACACTCTGCTGTTGATCGTAGGCTCTTCTACAATCTCATTTTCCTTGCTTGTGTAACCCTATTGCATCAGGGTTCCCCCCCCTTTTCTGCATGTGTTTTGCTCAAGAGAAATATGCCAGAAGAGATACAGCAATGTAATATTGAAGCAACCAATAGAGGGAGCAAAACATATGCAGAAATGAAAGAAAAATCCCCCAAGACAATAGGGGCACACAAGAAATGAAAATGAGAGTGCAGAAGAGCCCTGCGATCCATACGACACAATTCAGAAGAAGCATTTTTGGATCACAACTTAATTCAAACTGAACACCACATGAGAATACTGATGTAAGCATTTTCCAGAAGCATCAAGCTTGTGAATGCAACTACTACATATGTGTTACATGACCAGTCCTTTCATCAAGGATTTCATTGTTTACTCATTGGAGTCTAGCACCTGTCTTTTTAATATTGACCTTTTTCCAATGACTCATTCTGGAGATTTATGGACACCTAAGCTCTTGGAAAAGGGTGAAGCAATTTTCACTGATCCCCCATTCCTCCTTAAGAGAATGAATCTATTTCATTTTCAATCCCCTCAACCATAGGTTGGTGGGATTATGGATAAAACAAAAACAGAGCCAATCAATAAAACAATAAACACTAAGATCATTTAAAAATGTATGCAAGAAATCTAGCAATAGCTTCCAACCAGTCCACATCATTTGAAAACAATAATTTTAAGAATAGTATAATTACTAGAGCATTGAATGTCAGAGCCGACAAGAGATCATGCCTAGCTTCAATAAACAAAGGACAGTGTAACAGCACATGTGAAATGGTTCCTATTGCCCCACCTGCACTAGAACAATTTATTTCAATCCAGGGAATATCTTTAAGCCTTCCTGTGCATTCAGCTATTGGCAGCAAATTACATTTTCCCCAAAGGATTAAATATCTGTGTTTGGGATTTTTTATACTAACCGACTAATTAGCAACTATAAAGGAAGTTGTTTTCATGATAAAAATAAGTCTTGCCTTATTAGATGTCTATGAATCAATACTAACCAAGATGAATCATGTGATAAAATTGCTTCTGTTATTGTTTTCGGTAGGTGATCAGAATAGCAATGAAATAGATTATCATCTAATGAAAACCCCAGTTCACGCGATTTGTCAAAGAAGGCATTAGCACTTGATGATAAAAATAAGTCTTGCCTTATTAGATGTATTCGTTGACTCAAAGGTTCTAATAAGAATATTTTAACCACATCTTAATGGCATATTTCCATGTGATAGATTGTAAGGAGTGCAGTCCAATTCCTAATCTAAATACTGAGTTGGAGACAAAATTAGGAATTCCCAAAATGGTTAGGAAGAAGCTAGTCTGCAGCCTATCAAGATCTTTAGCAATTACATTCTGCCATAACAGTGCCCTATATAGGGTTGAGGGAAAATCTTGGGATTGTACATTTTGAGCAATGTTAGAAAAGATTGTCCACTTTTTGTAAAATAAAATTTCTTCAGGATATGGACAGAAGCTGAAAGATACTTCTGATATGTTTTAGATTACTTTTCCATGTCATCAAAGCATCAAAATGGATGCCCAGATATTTGAAAGAATGAACTTGTTCAAACTCCACTCCTTGCAACCTCCAAGGATGCCCTATCTTCCTAATGTCTCCAAACAGCAGTATTTTAGATTTATTTTATGCTAAGTTGCTCCATTTCACAATAATTAATACATTGATTGGTTTCTTAAACCCTGCTTAGTCAATGATAGTAGAATCATAGAATTACAGAGTTGGAAGGGGTCATACAGGCCATCTACTCCAACCCCCTGCTCAATGCAGGATCAGCCTAGAGCATCCCTGACAAGTGTTTGTCCAGCTGCTGCTTAAAGCCTGCCAGTGAGTGGGAGCTCACCACCTCCCTAGGCAGCTGATTCCACTGTTGCACAACTCTTACTGTTAAAAAGTTTTTTTCTAACATCCAGCTGGTACCTTCCCACCCTTAATTTAAACCCATTATTGTGAGTCCTATCCTCTGCTGCCAACAGGAACAGCTCCCTGCCCTCCTCTAAGTGACAGCCCTTCAGATACTTAAAGAGAGGAATACTAAGACTTTATCAGCATAAAGTATTTTGTTAATTTGATGCCCCCCTAATAATGGAGCCATTACATTCACTTTTGACAAGAAGGGACTCAGATCATTTAAGCAGAGTGCAAATGCCAATTTTAAGTTTAAAAAGGCAGCATATAGTCCATTTGCCTTTAAATATTTCTCAACCAAATGTGACAAGATTATCCTGTTATAAATTATAGAATAGATAACTTGACCCCATGCTATTCTGGAGGGTCTTTTAGCAAAACCAATATTTTGGAGGCTTCAGGGAGGAGAAGCAAAAAAATGCTGCACTTCTTCAAAAAGCTAAAGTGGCCTTACATTTTTGGGATTGCATGGCTGGATTCAAGCAAAAGAATCCAACATATTCTTCAAAACCAAAATTAAAGAAAAGTCCAGTGGCACTTTAAAGATTCACAAAACTGGTTCCAGCATAAGGTTTCATGAGTCAGAGCTCACTTGATCAGAGTTCTCATGAAGTGAGCTCTGACTTATGCATACTTATGTGAGAGTAAATTTTGTTAGTCTTCAAGGAGCTTTTGTTGCAACAGACTAGCAAGGTCACCACTCTGGAATTAAAACGATAAGTATTACAGTTTTATAAAACACAGCTGTGAGAATATTTTTGGTCATTTAAAAAAAATGTATTGGCCTTTTTGGTTTTTCTCTGTTCATTATATTTTGTTAATGTACTAATTTTTTTTTTAAAGAGTAAAAACTGGCTGTGGAGAAAAATCTGAAAAAGTCATGTGCAGTTTCTGTTAATTAGTCCTGGATCCAAAATAGACCCCCCCACACAAATTTTCTTGGGTAGACATTCTAATTTTGGGTCATTTTCCCTGCAGCCTCTTTTTTCCAAGATGGTGGATATAATTATTTTGATATTTAAAATTCATATAGTATTCTCATCTTGGTCTCAAAATATGTGTTATTGAGGTCAATAAAGCCAAATTCACTATTATCGTAGCGGTAGACACAGACATTTTTCCTGTTCCTGCAGTTTTGCAAGATAGCAGATCTGTCTCACATTCTTGTAGGATGCTGGTATTCGTGGCAAAATGTATGTTTTGGGGGTCGTTAAAACTGAGTATATGACTCTTTTTGTTGTAAAAGTAAAATAAAGCATTTTTAAAGGTTTGTAATAAGAAAATTCTGTATATATACGTTTTTTCTTTTTGTGGGAGCCTATTCTGGATCCAGAACTAGATGGCTCTGGGCGAAAAAGGAAGTGATTCTGGAATTCCATCACAAACTCCAGACACACAACGTGGCACTAAAACCACCTGGGAGGGCTGATTTGGATGGGAATTATTGGAGCAAGTCAATCCCCCCCCCCTAATCTCCAGAAGGAAAAAGACAAGGTCTTAAAGCAGTTGGGGGAACAGGAAGAAGCATTTTTCAGTCTGGGAAGTAGTGCGTGGTGGGGTGAACTCACCCTTTCTTAGTATGATGGCCCCAGTCTAGATTCTCCATGCTTTTGGGGCCACGTTCTACATATGGAGTTTCAATCACAGAACTCCAGTATCACACTTAGAAGAAAATGGATGACTGCTTCTCAAGTTATATTTAATATGCACAGGTCAGCACCTTTCTGCTTGAACATATGTCTTATGAAATGTTAGAATGGCTGAACAGATGTCTCTCTTTTTTGGCCTGATACATGTTTGGTAGTGGAAACACATGCTTCTCTCTCTGAGGTGGAGGACATCTTGGGTGTTTCCCAACATCCAATCAGGGAGGCAGGAATCAAATTTCTTCCTCTTCCTGTGGAATGGGAACACCCAAACCTCAGTTCCTGTTTTGCCTCGATAGGAAGAGCATGGTCATAGGCTAATTCTTACCTACTGTTTGTTGTCTAAAGTTTGCTTCCTCTTCTCTTTTCCTTTTCACCCTCACTCTTAAAAATACCAAAAAAAACCCCAACAACACCCCTCTTCACTCTAAACTTTTCTCTGCTGTTCTTCCTTTCACTCTCCTTCCCCCCTCCTCTGCTGGGGGGATTGGCTTTGTGGTGGCTACTGGCCTTGGGAAATAGCAGTGGAGCAAAGAGGGTTCTTCAGCATGGAAGCT